TGAAAATTAGATTTGTTCTTCTGGCAATGATAGTTACTACACCGCACATTATCTATTTGTCTTTCCCAAGGTTCAAATGATCTCTCGGAAAGAGAATAAAAAAAAAAAAAACTTCAATTCTATTCATTTGTTTTTTATTCATTAATTTATTTAAATAAATCAATTTAAAATAATATAGTTTACAATGAATTCTAAAAAACATATTTTAGGTTGAAAATATGGATGATATAAATGGTTATATTGATCTTCTTAATCTCTGGTTATTTGACAAACTTTCTCAACATTATCCTAAAATGAATTTAGAATTACTTAAAAGTGTTCATTTTCAAATGACAAAATCTAATAATACAGATTTAAATCAAGCTCCAGCTCATGCTATTCGTTTTGCACCATTAGAACATTTACTTGATGTTATTTATAAAAATGATATACAATTATTTATTCAAGATATTCAACGTTATATTGATATACTTCATGCAACAATGACTGGACGTAAAAATCTTTCATTAATTATTTCAAACTATGAAAATCTTTCTTCAATTCCAATGCCAAATTGGGCTGGTGTTGGAGCTATACGTTATATTCCAAGTCATATAAATTTATCAGATATTGATGAAATATCAATTAATGAAATAAATACAATTCAAGCTGAATTAGCAAGACAATTACAAACAAATGACACAGCATTTTCATTAGGTGGTGGTGGTGGTAGTGGTAGTGGAACAGATGAATATGAATCAATGTTTTATTTACGTTTAGGAATGATAAGAAAATCTGAAGATCTTGATATATTATTACATAAAATTTTAAATGCTGGTAAAGAAACAGAAACATCATTAAAATATGTTGAAGATATGGCAGAAAAAATTAGAACAGGCATTGAAAAAGTTCAAAAAGATTTACAAGATGAAAATCTACAATTATTTGCTCAAGAAGGTCTTTTAAGACATTTACCATTAGTTTCAAGTAATAATCTCATAAAGAACTCTGTTAGATAAGATGACCAAGCTTCATTTGAAAAGCCAACTATACCGTTTTGTAGAGTAACTCGTACCGCATCAAATGGTATATAGAAAAAAGCTACTTCAATAGGGTTTTGTTTTATCGTCAATCGTATATATCTAATAACAGCTGTCTTCGTACCCAAAACCTTAGCATTTATTACTAGTTTCTGTAATTTCAAGGTTGTATGTACGATACTACTCTTGAAGACAACCATAGAACTTATTCAGAAGTTGTGTACCATGCTCAAAGTGGCCAATCAAAATCTGTAAAAATATCAAATTTTCGATTTCAATGAGCAGAAAAGTATCAAACTTTTGCAATAAATACTTGCTAAGTGAAAAGAATTCCTATTGATTATAAAGATTAGTTTATATATTATTTTGTTTCTTACGAATTTAGATTCTGAATATCCAGATGATATTACAGTATGAAGTTCTGTTAGATTCAATATATGTTCGACTTCTTACCATTTTTGAAAGGTCCATAGATGTCAAATGATAGGACAGGATGACCTTATTATCAATAGATAGGAACGTTTTTCACTTAGAAAGTATTTATTGCAAAATTTAGGTACTTTTCTGTCCTTCGGAATCAGAAAATTGACCTTTTTGCCATTATTTATTGGCTGATTCGAGCATGGTGCGCATCAATTAAGATTACAGTTAATTGGTATACATATAGATCGTGGTGGCACACAATTTCTGAGAAGGTTGCACAGTTGGTTGTCTTTGCTCTGAGAAGCATTATCGAGCAATTTAAAATATCACAAAAGCTAGTAAAAATGCTAGCATTTTGGGTAAGAAGAATGATATTATTTGGTATATATGATTGAAGATGAGAAAAGAACTTTATTGAAGTAGCTTTAAACGAAATTTGATATAGGTTGATTTGAAGACACACTGAATCCTAATATTTGATCATATCACCCACAATTGCTACAATACTCCTGAGCTGGTATCTAGTTTTTCAGAACACCAAAATTTGATAAGAGAGCAATTTTCTATATATCATTTGATGCACCATGAATTCCTCTGCAAAACGGTATAATTGGCTTTTCAAATGAAGGATGGTCATGTTGTCCGATAGAATCCTTATGAAACATTTTTTTTTTAAAAAATCTTTATTATTTTAGATATAATGTCATGGTGGAGTCCATCTCAATCGACACCACCATTAGCAATAAAAGGTCGATCATTTGATTTAAATTCTGGTCAAATTGAATCAACTGAAGATACATATGCATATCGAATGCAAATTAAAAAACAATCTCCTCATGCACCGATGCATAATAATGACGATACTACATCGATTAATTCAAATAATATAGAAAATTCGACTGATTTAAATACTAATCAATAATCTGTGATATACATTTTTCAATTTAATGTTCAATCGAACAAATCGAAAGATATTTACTTGATTATTATTATTCTTCTTCTTTCTTTTTTTAGTGCTTCGTTCAATGTCGACCTTAATAATTAGGTTTCTTTTTTGTTTTTGTTATAATCTGTGTTCACTTCTATAATAAATTATTCGAACTATTCGGTATGTTCTATAAATTGAGCTTGAAAATTTTTTTTTTTTTTTTATTATGAACTATATTTATTGTATTAACTCGGACATAAAATATTATATTGCATGCTTCGTGTATTATCCTAGAATAAGTATATTTAACATAACAATGTTATTATATGCAACGGAAACGACTTATTTTCTGATTATCTAAATTTTGTTTAAAATATACGTGGCCGAGAATTTTTTTTCTATGTATAAATCCTTGTTCGGATACAAAATCTGTTTTAAGTAGTATTTTTAAATTAGACTTGTCAAATTACTCATATATTTAAGATGATTTTCTTGACAGTAAAAACAAATCATTTATTTATTTGTTTTTTTTTTTTGTTTTCTATAATTATTATAGAATGTTTTTCAAAAGATTAGAATATATTCTATCTATCTTGTAATAATAGAATGAAAAGAATATATAATTGCACTTAGAATGATGCATGTTGTTGTTTCCGAAGATCGATTTTTTATTAGTTATTTGTTATTCAACTATAGAAATTTATGATTCTTTTTTAGCAACATTTGATCTTAGTTTTTTTTTTCATAAATAAACCAAATCATTGATTAATTCTAATTTAATAGAATTCTCGATTATATGCTTGTAAATTCATATAATAACGTCAATCTTTACATTCAAAATAATCATATGTCAATTGCTTATTCAAATTACTTTGATGTGTTTAGTACTCTCGAAACTTGTACTAACCAATTATGATTAGAATAAGATGACTTCTTCTTTTCTTTTTCTTTATAATGAAAAGAAAATTTTTAATATTTTTCCGAATGAAATCATGAACTTGTATTGTTATTACATAAAAAAAAATAATCATCATTAAATCAAAAAGAAAAAGATTTATAATAAAATCAGTTCGGAAGAAAAAAAAAAAAAACTGCTTAACTTTTGAATATATGGAATATTACAATTAGATTTTCTTTTATGAATTAATATTGATTGTGAATCGGTGAAGACGACTATTGATTTCCGTCTCGTGCAAAAAACTTTATCAAAAAAGCAGAACAAGTAATTGACTTTTACTATTCGCATTCATTGAAGCATATACAAGGAAATTTTTTTTTCACGCTCTGTCTTATTGATGCAATAATATATGTGGTATATTCATTGAAGTCATAATTTCATGTATATATTTTATTAAGAATTTATATGACATATTCTTTTTTGACATGTTCTACTTCAATATGATTTAAAAAAAAAATAAATCTTATATATTGTGTTTCCTAGAAATGATTTCTTAAGTATATAACATCTTGATGTCATATTCAATCTGAATTAATGTCATTAGTTTGTCGCCTTTCGTTTTATTCCACATCATCATTTTTCTTTAATAATATCGTTTATTATCTTTTGAATGTTCATAACTAAAATTTATATTGTATAAGAATCAATATTGAAACATGAATTCTTGTCTTGACTTTATAAGAAAAACAAAAAATCACTTTTTTTTTTTTTTTTGTTTTAATCATATTCTTAAAAGAAGATGGAACACATCCGTTTTGTTCTTCCGACAAGGTCTTATAAATATGCTTTATCATTAAAAGATTACAATGATGTTGTTTATATCCGTTTTTAGAAGAAAAAAAAAAGAACTTTCTTCTTTTGTCATCATTTTAATTGATTTTATTCTTATGGTAATCCGAATACAAAAATTGCTCGTCTCTCTGATTGATTATGGAAAGTTTGTTAAAGGTTGAGAAAGGAAATTAAATGGTAATTATTGAGAAATAGTCTCATATGTTATACTGCAAATAAGATATCAAATGTTCGGTGAACGCTTCGTGTGAAAAATAAATAAATATAAGAGAAGAAAAAAAAAAAGCACTAACGCGACAACTAAAAATAAGAGAATCAGAAGAGAAGAAAGAGAGATTTTGACGACATAGGATATATATATATATATATATATATATATATATATTTTTAAAAAAAGAAAGAGATGGATCATCATCATCTGCCTATTATCATTAACATCGTTGATAGAAGACAAAAAAAAAAGAAGAGGATTCTTCTTTTTTTTTTTGCTATGTGAATGCTAACATATATGAAGAGAGAAGGAGAGAAAAATCCGAGAAAAGAGAACTCTGGAAATGAACAAAAATGAAAATAAAAAAATAACAAATCTGCTACAAAGTGTGTGTGTGTGATACATCGTTGCAACTCGTCTATTCTTTTTTTCTTTCTTCTTCGTCTTCCTATATTTTTTTTTCTTATTGTTTTCCTATTGACATCAATTTTCTTTAAAAACTCTGACAATATAATACATAGAGATAAATTATTATAAATACATATATTCATTAGATGGACGAATTTAATCAATGATATTGATGAATGATCCATGTCCAGGCTGGCGCATAGTCAGTCATTATATTTATCGTAATGTACCATGCATTTAATACAATTCCTATTAACTTTTATGCTTGGTATTAATAATCAAGTCGTTTCTTTTGTTTCACCACCACCACCAACAACAACAATCGAAGCGACTGATTTAGAAGATGGTCATCCAAATCATCAACTGTGGAATAAAATGACTGATAATATAGGACGTCATTCATTTTCTAGTCGGTAAGTTTTTAAAATCACTATCTATTAATTTATCTATTTTCATATACTCGAGGCTTTTCTATTTTAATGAAATAAATAGAAGACCAAAATAAAAAGAATTTCAGATAAGACGCGTATGAAGATAAACAATATTGATAATTTGATCATGTGAAAATATTCTAAACTTATGTCACGTAATACATTATAAAGTGAAATAGAATAAGGAATTAACAAATCTATCTTTTCTCTATTCCATATAAATTTATCATTATTAATATTTAAACCCCACATGACATATCAGTACTCTACTTAATTAGATAACATCATACATGCTGAGCAATTATCCGATCAGTTGTTAGAATTAGTTAGTAGTAATATAGTAGATAAAATGTCGAACTAAAATAAGAATAGGAAGAGAAGGAAAAAAAAAAGAAAAAGATGAAGCTTCTATTGATAGAATCATTGCTTGAAGCATTGTAATTCATGCAATCAGGATATTCAATGCCGTTGAAAATACTACCTAGCAGTTTTTCAATGTTGATTCTCTCGAGATAATCATTAATAAGAGAGTAGAGATACTCTACCATGAAATATAATAGAGACAAACTATTCTTTCTCATTACACAAAGTAGCAATTAGATATAGAAGATTTATTTTATTCGTTTAAGATCCATACAATTATATGTTAAGATATTCTCATTATTCTTTTTTTTTACATAGAAGAAAAAGTATATAACAAGAACACTTACATTTCATAGATATGTTAAACTCTAATTCTGTTCAATATTCTATTTTAAGATCATTATTATATTAACTTAATTCCTTGTTTTTTTTTTCATGATTGTTAGAGATTTATCATCATCATCATCAACATATATTTTCTTTTTCTATATTCGTATTACAGTTTGTTTTTTTTTCCGTTCATTATTTTTATAATCGAAGAGATGCACAATAAATTTATACATATCATTGATATTCGTTTCTATGTTCCGTTTCATTACGATTGAATCAATTAGTTTTTAACAGTATGTATATAAGAAATATTCTTATGCTAATCATAACGTAATCATAATAAAAGGGACATATGATAACAAGCACTAAACGATATAAATAGACCGCATCGACATCCGTTTCGTGATTACAACAACATCGTCAAATAAATATAAATTAGATTATTTTAAAAGTCTGATTAAGAAACGAAAACAACCAATGAAAATTGAAGATGTTTCCACTAGTTCTAACCGATCTATTCTATTTAATAACAGCAGAATTGATCTATATTTCCTTTCATACGACAGTAGAAATCCAGATCTATATTAACTCATTACCTTGTTTCTCTTCATCATAAAAGCATAGATGGGAAAAATAATAGATTTGCCTTGAGGGACCTGAAAGAAACGTATAGAAGATGCTGTTTATGAGTTTCTCAATCTTTACGGATGATTATTACATTCATTTCATCGATATCGTCATCCACTCATTCATTAAACAGTGCAAGTGTTATGTTCCCGTCGAAAGTTTTCTCTTTTTTTCCCTCTTTCTCACTCTCTATTTATACACAAGACGACATGTCGATCTTCATCTGTAATAGACGACAGAGAAGAAAAAATAATAATACGAAGAAAAAAAGTGAACACTTTATAAGAATGTCGACAAAGAAACGTAATCGTATATTATAGTTGTTTGCTTACTAAAAATGGAATAGTGTTGATGCAAATTGATTTTGAGCATGACGTTCAAGCACAATGCAAAAAAAGAAAATTGCAACGAGAGAAAAAAGAAAGAAACGACTAAACTATAAGAGGAAGGGTAAAAGCAAAAGAAATTCCTAATCAGTACGTACATTGAAAAATCCTTTTTATTGAGAATGTAATATTATTAAAGCAATTGTAAGAAAGAAATATACCACGGTGAATAAGGAATAGAAAAATCAGAGCGATAAAAAAAAAACCCTAGAAGAAAAGAAATAGTTAACAACAGACGAGCATTGATAAAGAAATAGTTCTTTAATGGCTGAATTAAAACTTGCAACTGGGAATGTTCATCAATGATTTTCATCAGTATTATATTCATATTTATTTTAAATACATTTTTATTTCATAATCCATTACATGGTCAAGATTTATGGATAGAAAAGACCAAAGATGATACTATTGAAAAGTGGGTCTTGTTTTTTTGTTGTTATCTTTAAAAAATTTCATTTCATTTTAATATTTGATTCATCGAAAAAAGAAAAAATTAGTCAATAATAGAATATAAAATGAAAATAAATACATTTGCAGACAATAATTATATTGTCATAAGTTCTGATTATATGATGTAGTTAATAAATTAATTACTAGTCAAAATATTTTCTATATTATGGGCTTTTGTTTTGAAGAATCTATATGTTTATAAGCAATTTATTCTTAATCATGAAAGAGCAACTTGATTTACATAAATAAACAATCTTGCCTTAGGAATTTATTTTCTACTGTTTTTTTTTTTGTTTTATTCGGAAATATTTGTTCTATATAATGTATATAGATATTAGTTTAGTATAAAATAGGTTGAGATAGAACAAGGTTATATGTCTCTATGTTAGTGTCGACATAAATGGAAACATTAATTGAATATTGTCAGAAGATATTATTCGACAACATAGACAAGGATGATATATATGGTTAATATTAGCTTCTTTTTTTTTTTTTATCGAAGATCTCAGCGAATAATAATAGAATCAATAGAAAGATTGAGAAAGATGTGGGTAGTACATAGATTTATTGCTTTTTTAGTACTCATCAAGAGATGAGTTGGCAAGTATTAGACGAAAAAGCAGCACGGAATCAACATCCTGTTGACTGACTTGATTAAAACAACGGAAATATATTATTCTAAAGCTTTGTTTGACTTTTTACATGTAACTTTTTTTTTTCGTTCTTGATTATATATATATATATATATATATTTAATTACCATGGCACCAGATGCTCTTTAGTATAATAAAACTTGTTTTGATTGAAGATATATAAGTACATGAAGTAACAAGTGTGGATTATTTATTGAACTCAAGTTGAATAGGAAAATTAATATATAAGATAAATTGATTGAATGAATAAAGAAAAAATGCTTTACTTATTATAAATAGTGGAACATTACTTTACATGTCATATCAAGAGTTTGTTTGTCGTTCAATTATTTGGATTTTATATGCTATCAAAAAAAAAAAAAAGACCCGTCTAAATCGATCTTTGAGTACTCTCGTGTTTCGTTGAAGGATAATAGAAGTCATCATGTCTTCGCCAGTTGCTCTCTCTGTCTTTTTTTCTATCTCTATCTGTCTCCATCTCTCTCTCCTTTTGTATGTCTGTGTTTTTTATTTTATCACTTGTCAGTTGTTGGTACCCGTCATTTTTTTTGTTGTCGTCAACTTTATGGATATATATATGCCGTCTTGGTACTGAGAATAAATACACATGTCAGTATCATAATTGTTGAATGTCAGTCAAACAGTCACACAAATCTTGATTTTGTTTGAGATAGACACGCACTTACATAAAGTAAGAAGCTAAAACATCTAGAAATAATAGATTAAATTTCATAATCATACATTAGCTAAGTATTTATTTATCCTTCGTACATCGAAATACCATTATCGTCAGCATCAATATATCGTCAACATTAGGTATCGTCTATATATATTAGATAAGACGGATATTTTTCTTGTTTGGTCGTTATTGATAAAGAATTTTTTGGCAGTTATTTACTCTGTTTATATTCATTGATCAATGTTACATGTTTTTATGAAAAAAATATTCAACAACGAATTTATATTATCGATAATCTAGCGTGTTTATCAAAAACAAAAAAAAGAAAATAAAATAAAAGAAAAACTATGAAACTATATGCTGGTTTGACAATTTTATTAACAATCTTCACACTTATTTCTAGTGCAAATTTCTTACGCAGTGATTCATCAATAAATACAGTTGAAGATTTTCTTGATACATTAATTAATTCAAGTCATTATGATAGACGTATTCGGCCATTTTTCGATCAACATAGTACGTAATTATATGAAACAATCATCTTTTTTTTTGTTCTGAATATTTTTTTCGATTGTAGAAGCATGTAATGTGACAATGACTATTCATATTAATACGATTTCAGCTATCAATGAAGTTAATATGGTAAGACAGAAGTAATAATATTTGTGTCAATTAGTTTTTCCTTTCTTTTTTTTTTAATTTTTTTCTAGGACTATAATACAGATTTAATTTTTCGTCAATCATGGTATGACCCTAGATTGAATTATTCTGGTACAGAATGGGCAAAAAGATCACCAGAGATTACATTACATTATTCACTTATCGATCGTATTTGGGTGCCTGATTCATTCTTTCGTAATGCTAAAGAAGGTAAACGTAGTGATATAACAGTACCTAATCGATTGATTCGTATTCATCGTGATGGAAAAGTACTTTATAGTCAAAGGTTTGTTTTAGAAAAAAAAAAAAAAAAAGAAATAAAACTTTGAAATTTTATTTTATTTTATTTTTTGTTCTTTTCTCTCTTAGACTTTTACTTAAACTTGATTGTCAAATGAAATTACAAAAATTTCCACTTGATAATCAAACATGTGTTGTTAATATTGGCAGTTGTATGTATTATTATATTTTTTTTTAATTTAATCAAAACAAAAATATAAAATAAAATTTTTATTTCTTTTTAAGATGCTTTTGGCACAAAAGATTTATCATTTTATTGGGATGAAACTCCTAATACAAGTGCTATTCGAGTTAATGAAGATCTTGAAATGCCCGATTTCGTATTAAGTAATTTTGAACAACGATATTGCAATCGAACAACAGCAACAGGTTAGATATGTCTTCTTTGCTTGTAAATTTAATATAAAAAAAAAGATAAAAAAAAAACTTTCTTCATTCGTGTTACTTTTAATTATGTGGTGAATATAATATTAAAATTTTATTTTGTAATAAGTTTTTCCTCGACTCGCTCGTAGGCACATTTGCATGTATCGAAGTGCATCTCTCATTACAACGCAACATCATTTTATATTTACAACAGCTTTATTTACCATCAACATTAATTGTTGCTTTATCATTCATCGCATTCTGGATCGACTATAAATCCCATCCTGCACGAACATTATTGAGTCTACTCAGCATTGTTACTGTAACAACAAAGGCTGAAGGTACAAAAACAAAATATTCTTTTTCTTTTTACTGCGATTAGAAACCTAAAACACATACACACACATATACACCCGTTCGCATTTTCTGCTTGCACTTGTTTTTTTTTTTTTTTTTTTATTCACCATACTGACATCTATGCACTTCATATAATAATCATATTATTAGACATGACCTACTTGATATAATTATATATCGATATATATATATATATATATGATTTTTGTTAGTAGTAAAGTACGCAAATGAAGAAAGTTTTTTGTTGATTTATTTATTTAATTCGATGACATAATTAGACGATCAATTTTTGTAGGCAGTTTTACATGCCTTCTTGTTGTTCTTCATTTAAAACGTTTATTTGGTTATTATCTTGGTGAGTTTAGTCGTCTTATTTTTATATATGAGGAATAATTTGAGAAAGTTAAATTTCTATAGTTCAAGTTTATATTCCATCAATGCTCATTGTTATTCTTTCTTTTGTTTCATTCTGGATCGACCATAAGTCGGTAAGGTCGAAAACCAGAATAGAACTAATATTTGTCATCAATATATTCAGGTTCCAGCTAGAATTTCAGTCGGTCTTTTAACTGTACTTACAGTTACGACTCAAAGCTCAGGTAACAAAATTAAAAAAAAAGTATATATACATTTATTATTAATAATTATAATAATAAGAAATAATTTTCATTAACATACACCTTTTTTTTTCCACACCATGCTCACTGCTTTTTTTCTTCATTTCATTAAATGCTTATTTGCTTATTATATATAGCCTTAGCCAATAAGAGAATGTAAATTTCTTCTAAAAACCTCTTTTTGGCTATGGATCTAGCTTATTGCTTTCTAACCTTTATCTATAAATATGACTGATATCCTATATTATAATTTTGTCAATTATTTAGGTATTCGATCTCAATTACCACGTGTATCATATATAAAAGCAATTGATGTCTGGATGTCAGCATGTCTTGTTTTTGTTTTTGCTGGTTTACTTGAATATGCACTTGTTAATGTTATTGCTCGTAAAAATGAATTAAGACAACAAGTTCGTTTTTCCAGAGAAGTAAGTTAAATTTGTTTCTTTTGTTTTTGTTTTTGTTTTTATTTATTTATTTATTCATTTATTTATCTATTGTTATTTTTGTTGTATTTATAAATTGTGTGATTGATATATATATCTATTTCGAAAATATTATTATAGAAAAAAAAATTGGACAGAACAGCAAAAATAACTTTAATACAAAATCTACAGGATGGCTCATCTTTTGCTACAGAGAGAGTAAATTTATTTCTTTTTAGTTAATAGAAATTTTCCCCCTTTAAGCTTCTTCTTATATTTTCACACATCTCTTCTACACACACATATATATATATATATATACACATAAATGTTTTTTTTCTTAATTATCACTATATGTTTTTTTTTAATTTTATTTGATTTTATTTTATTATATAAATGTATTAGTTTGAAATAGATTTATTTATTTATAGTTTTTGTTTTTGCATTAATTTTCTGTTTACATACATATTAATTTAAAGGTTATTGGTAATCGTCTTGCTCAAGTACATTTCTATAAAAAAGATGATACACATCAAACTAATATTGAAACAACGGAAACACTTGCTCGTAAAACAAGTGTTACCGAAAAAAATTTACGTAGTGGAAGTATCACTAGTCCACTTATTCAGAATTCAGCAATTTCCAATACTACTGCACCTTCACAAACACCACAGGTTATCTTGTCACAACAAGCACCGGTATCGAAAACCGCTAAACCTATTCGTGACACTGCACAATTAGTGAGTTGATAAATAACAACAAAACAATTGAAAAGAAAAAAAATTTGTTTTTTTTTAAAATTAAGGTTGATCTTGTCTCAGCTATACTTTTTCCTGTTGCCTTTATTGTATTTAATATTATCTATTGGTAAGATTGAATTTAATTTGAAAACATCAAAAAAATGTTTTTTTTTTCAAATCAATTTTTTAGGATGGTTTATCTTAATATGCAAGTTGAGTATGTTTTGAAATAAAATCAACTACACACAATTAGAAATCTAATCACATCGAAAAAAAAAAAGAACAATTGAATTGTAGAGCATTTCGTTTTTTTTTTAATTTGTATAAATTAATAGAAAGAAAAAAAAAGAACTATTCAACGATGTTGTTTCGTTCTCGCTTTTTTCTTTTTTTTTTTTTTATAAAAATTATCATGGAACAGTATGTCTTCATTTTTTTTTGTGATACATTATGTATGTATTGAATATCTTGATAGACAATATTGTCGATCTATTTAAGTTTCTCTTCATTACTTTGAACATATTCATAAATATAGAGAAATTTGGAATTAAAGGATCGATATGATCTGCAAGATTTTCTTCTTCTGTGAATTTATAAATTAAGATGTAATTGACATAGATAATCAATGCAAATTTTATACATTAATTCTTCGAAACTTCACTGATGTCGTGAGGTCTGCCTGCATCCATCTATGGAAAATTACAAAAAAAATCATGCCTATAACTTCGTTGTTGTTCTAAGATCCATGTGAACCTACAGCTTTATTTTTTCCTCTCAGATCTATTCATGATTTCTGGAAAAGGATATAACTGTTACATGAGTCCACTTGAACACTACGACAGCAACGTAGGATTAAAATTTTCAGATTGCAAGAGTGCCACTCGACTGTAAAACGTCGTACGAAGCTTTGAGTGTCAATTATCGATAAAATCGAGATCTTATCAAAAACTTGTAAATTTATGGTATATTATTAGAGGAGTTAAAACAATTTATTTAAAAACAAAATGTAAAATTATAACAATTTCAATACTCGTGATAGGCGAACGTTGAAATTTTATCATTTCGAATTCCTTTTCTACTGTATTGTCATAACTTATTTTCTCCTAATCATAACATACACAGTAAATGCCGTGGGAAGCGGCAAATATAATTTCATTCTTCATTTCAATCATCATATTAGCCTGCTATACAAATTGATTTAATTGTTCAGTAAACTTCCGCACACACGATCCTTTCTCTCGACGAACTTTGACATAGACTATTGAGTTTTACGCTTAAACTTAGAATTCAATTAGTTCATTCTATTCTATGCCTATCCTATTCTGATTCTACTCGATCAATAATACTACTGTCGTACTCATTGACGCCTACAATAAGATCCTTTCACTGCATTAAATATCAAAATCTGCAATATTTAAACTGATTAGAATTTCAGAATGATCTAAACACTGTTATTACTTAAGCGCTTTTTTCAGTTGCTATGGAAACGTACTCAATAATCTTTGCCCTTCTTTCTTCCACTCCTGGTTGATAGGACTGGGAAAACCCTAAAAACTCTCGATTTAAATTTACACTCACTATTTTCTTTGAAAACATACGTGAGTTCCACGAAATGAATCATCATTTCTGTCATTGAACACGAAATGTTTTTCTTCAAATGATATTTACTTTTTATTGAAATCAGTCAAATAGCAATTGTGAAATTCACTACTAAGAAAACTCTATTAACAGACATGAAACTGTTTCTAATGAATTCCATGAATTGATTGATTGATTCATTATCTATTATCAGCTGTACTGACAGCTGTCATATATAAAATGAGATTGACAACTAACTTTTGTTGTTATCTTTATTTTAATTACCTCGAACTTTGAAAAAAACAATACACAAAATGTTTTGCATTTTTAGGTGACTTTCTATAAAAAAAAAAGGAAATATTGATGATATCGATTCGATCATGAAATATTATCCTGACGTTTGAACGAATATTTTCTAACTTTCTGTTCTCAAGATAATCATAACGGAACATGCCAACCTTTGATCCGTACGTTGAGAAAATAATTTTCATCGACCCGCATAAATACTGTTCTTCGCATCGCTGGAAAAAATGTAGGAGTACTATACTTATTAATGCAGTGCAAAGTACAACATTTATGTAGTTGTTTCCAACTTGTTTTTGGGTCGCAATGGTCTCAAAGAACAAACCATCAGAAAATATTTGTTCGAAGACAACATGAAAACATCGAGATTAAATCGACACCGTCTGTTTTCCAATTCTTAGTAGAATGTTTTGTTTGTTTATAAAGAGCTCGAAAAAGATGGAAAATTTCTGAGAACTTTGTTTTTTCTTTCAGATTTTATTCGTTAAGGAGATTTTCTTCGAAGAATTTGTAGAAGTTTCAAAGTTTTAGACTGTCATGTGTCTGTCAGAATTAATTAGATTATAAATAGTGTTTGATTTATTCTATTGTTTAGAGGATCTATTTGTAACATAAACATGTTTTCCTTCGATCTTTTTCTTTTTAATTTCTCGGTGCATATTATTCAAAGTTGGTATTTTCCGTCGCAGTCATCTCGAGAATGAAAAATCACACAATATTTGTTCAAACGCAAAATGAAAATTCGAGATCCTTTGTGAAGTTTATTATTTTCAAGCTTCGAGATAATAGCAACAAAAGTTAGCCGTTACTATATTTCAAAAAGTGATTTTATATATGGCAGCTGTGAGTACAGCTGATAATCGATAATAAATCAGAATGACAATCAAGTGGCGAATTGATATTATTCCATTAGAAACATGTTCATAATTGTTAATAGAGTTTCTTAACAATGAATTTCGCAAAGGCTATTTTATGTATTTATAACAATTGGTCGCAATGCTGAATAATAAAATCGACAAAACATTTTCTTAGCATTATGGAGAAATAACTCAGAGAGGCTCAGAAACAAAAAAGAAACAGGCGATATGAGTATAAATACGAATGTTTGGGAAACCTCTTCTAATTGAGCATGAAGTCTTACACGAGATTCAGTAGTTGCTTTAAAAATTTTATCATAATGCAGTAATCACAAAAAGTCCCGCTACTAGGTAAAAAGTGTCTAGAGTTTAATTCTTTAGTCTCATAGTTTGAGCACAAGTAAAGCATGTTGAAATCTGATCGTAAGGACTTGATCGGTCTTCATACGGAAGAGTTAGCCGATCAACATAGATTTTTTTCTTTAGACCAGGATATCACAATATAGAAAACAAATCTGATGACGTTGGACTTACATTCGGCAGCTTGGTACTACCTCTATCATCAATAAAAATCCCATGTTGAAACGGTTTGAGTTTGCCTTGTTTATGAAGTAACCTTTGGGAAATCTTTACATGAGGGTTGATGGAAATCTAAGTTTTCCTTGGAAATTTCACGTTCATGCGTACTGATGAAGAAGAAATCCATACGGAGAACATCTCAGATAATGGAGGCTTTTCCTCCGCCTCAAGATTAAAGTGAATTAGATTACCTTATCTGTGACACAATATAGAAATGCGAATTTTTATTTCTTTATAAAAAAAACGGATGTTAACGTATTTAAAGAGTGGAAAACCAGAAAAGTGTTAAAATAGCCTTTTCTGGACCCTAAAGAAAAGTCAGTTTTTTTCACCACAAATCCTCTGTATTAAAGCCTGTTGACCTCGGGTTGCAGCTGATGATCAGAGTTTATCAAGCTCTATTTTTAGTCAAAATATCAAGCGAAAGTTTTGAAGTTGATATACTTTTCACGGGGTAATGGGACTTCTTGCAACTACTGTACTAAATAATTTTATCTTGTTTTTATTTACTGGCAAGAGCATCTACGAATTAAGGTTTGTGGGCAGTCAAATATGCGACCAATTCTACATTGTGACTAATTGTCACTTTCCTTTACTTTACAGTTTCTTTTTTTTCTCCTTCAATAAGTTGATTGATCAAAGCGTAACTTTTCTTCTGATTTACAGCGATGGAAAAGAAATATCTTGATTCCAGTAAAGCATTTCGTGTTCAACAGTAGAAACGATTTCAATGCTAACTAATATATGACAAACTTTAATAGAATTGGAAGAAAATCTTAAATCAGAAAACAAGCGTTCACCATCATCTTTATCAAAGATGATTCTTAATTATTGATATACGTATTTCTATCATATCAAACAATTTATATGTAACTTTAGTATAGTCAAATGTACTTCGTTCTTTTATGATGCTAAATTACAATCTGAGCCGTAAAATGAAAAGTTTTATCCGTTATTCCTTAATTGAATATTAATGCTTTCAATTAAATTATATTTACATGAATAATAAAACTATAAAATCTAATGACAAAAAGAAAAATAATGACTTTATAATTTATTTTATTTCATGATTCACCATTTACAATTTTATTCATCAATTCTGTTCGTCTTCTTTCATCTTTCTGTCTGATTAATCGACGTCGTTTATAAGGTGTCCAAAATGTCCAAAGTAATATTAAAATTTGATAAAGACAAAATATAATGGATAAAATAAAAAAACCATAACGATCAATACGACAAATAAAATATTCCGGATAAAGTGAAAGTTGAAGTTGTTGTGTATTATTTGGTGTTAAATATGAAGTTAAATATATTTGATTATAATATAAATAACTAACTACACCATGAAACACATTTATAATACATAAAGCAACTATAGATGCTATAGCATACACTAAAAATAAAAAATAAATCTTCACAAAAACAAAAAAACAAAAATAATATTATTTCAATTTACCGTCTAATGCTGTTAAATATGATATTGTTCTAAATAGGAAAAAAAGAACGAAACAAAAATTCATCAAACAAAAATGTTTTGTTTATTTTTTTTTTCTTTACTTACGGAAGTGATTTATTAACAACCCATCGAAATGTAACAGATGTTAATAGAAGAGTACATGTTATTTGTAAACGACCATGAGCATTTGATGGTGGTATTGCAAATGTACAAAGAGATGCTGATGTTATAAGAAAAATTAAAAAATATGCATTCCTATTTAAAAAAAAAACCCATACATCTTATTTTAATAAAAACAAAAAACGAAATTGTCAGCACAATCTCAAGAGATTGTTTTATTCTATCTATTTAATTCTCAGCAAGATACCTGAACAGGTACCATACTGACAGCTGATCCAATAACCGGATACCTTGAACTCACGAGAAAAGTTCGTCAATTGATAAATTACTATTGATTGGA